CTAGTTTAGTGTCCTACTCACCCAAGTGTTTTAACCCCCCATTTGGGGGGATTGGTTTAGTTTCTTACTCAAGACTTTAAAATTCAAATCCCCCGCCCCCGAGGAGTTCCGAAAGGAGGACTCTGCTCTAGTGTTTTAAACATTGCCACAAAAGTGAATATGTTGACCAATCAAACCAGATACTGTACATGTTCACTGCACTGTGGTCACATTTTAGCAGGCATGTGCAAGTTTTGAGATGAAAAGTTTTAAATGTCTTGTTGGCATAACAAAATATTTTTGAAAACAGCGGTTCCTCTATTACCCACAGTGTTTGCTTTCATGGCATAACACATTTTTTTAAGAACTGTTAACAGTTCCCACTGGAAGAACTTGCATTGACTCATTAGCTTTTATGATTTCTGATTTGTGAAACATCATCTACTTTCTACAAGAGGAAGACAGATGGGAATTCTTCTAAAATAATTTTAAGTTGTTATAGTTGCTACATTGTTAGACATTTACTTGAAATACTTTTACAGTGACCATTCTTAATATATACCGTACTGTGATAAATTAATTGTAATAAAAGGGGGGTTCATGTTGAATTAATTATGTATCATTATTCTTGCACAATCTTGTGATGGCAGTGCCACGGTTATGGTTTCTAAGACACCAAAGCAACTCATTTTACAGTGATTTGCTGCAAGTGATATGTACGTGTTGTGAAGCAGCCTAAGCTACATCTCGGGTCAGAGGGGGTTTCCAGTGTTTACATTTTGTATGGACAGGAACTTGTTGTAGAAGACATTAGTCTTTTGAAATATGAACATAATACAACTTTTGAGCATAGGTGACTCCCTCAGTGTCATCCCATTCTTGCTCTTTTGACTGAAAGTTTTGTCATTGAACATAGCTGAATTGAGTTGGTAATTCATCACATTTATGTTTAAGTTATATCTGCTTCAGATCTTCCCAAGAAGTGGTGTGTGCTGATAAAAGAGTTTCTATACTTCAGAAATCCTTCATCACCGTTGTTTTAAAACCCGTGGATGCATTGTCTTTTGTGACATGTAACATTCCCAGTTGACTATCAAGAATGATGGCTTTCTGCCCTCGCCCCGCTCCTCAGTACAGCTGGTTGTATGTGAGTATAAGGAATTGAGTTCATGTCAAGGCAAAACACATGCAGGAGGTTAGTGAGAGTAGCAATGACTTGTTTATTTAATATACAGTGGAACTATATGACTAGTTGATAAATACGTGGATCTGATCGTCTGTTGTCATGGCAACAGTAGTTGGTAGTCCTGTACTGCAACTACAGCTACATGACTAGAAGACTTGTGGGGAGAAGACGGGCAGTGCAACTTAATTGCCTTCTGCTGTTTCCGCACTGGTCTTGGGCTTTCCATTAAGGGGCAGAGAGACTACATATATAGGGGCAGTCTGTGACAGGAATCTCTGTGCTATGCCACTTGTCTTCAGGGCATCTGCAGTGCTACAGGATGCCTTTCTACGATAGAGAAAAATGATCACCGCCAGAATACCGATGACAAATGCGGATGCAACAGACAGCACGACGATTGCAGTCTGGTATGGTGTGACCATAGATACAGCCGATTGGGACACGATTTCACGATTTTCTAGAGCGATGACATGGTCTGACAAATCTATATCATTACTAATGTCATCAGATAGACGGTGGCTGAAGTGAGAACTAGTGATGTCTGCCACAAGGGTTCCTGCACCCACTGCCAGTTTGCGTGCCCGCATCTGAAACAATGGTCCATATGTAAATCTGAACATATACTGGCTAATGAGGATCTCATGTCTGTCCATCCAAATGTTTTGCCTTAGAGTTACTCTGAGCATCTGTAATTAGAGAGCTTCTTTCTGTCAGAAGCAAGTAAATAAATGTAATTGCACCAGTTTAATATAAATGCTTGATGGCACAGGCTATATGGTATGAAATGTTTATTGTAAGGAATATAATCAATTCAGTTAATGAACATAGAACACTACCTGCTACACTTACCATCTCCTCAAGGTGAAATGCCACATCCACTTTGTTGCTGCCAATAACCTCAAAACTGACAAAAGTGACATCTGGGTAAGCTTCAATTTCCATCAGATTGTTGCGGATGTTTGCCCCTAGCTTCTCCAGGGCTCTTCTGACTTCAGCCATGAGTTTCCCACCGACAGCTTCCCCTTGCTGGCCTTGGAAACCTAACCGCACCTCAACAGCTTCTACTGGAGTTGGCACTGAGCAAACAATATCACAGTTGTAAGATTTGAGGTTTTTACAGCGGTGAGTATGAAGATTTCTGTTTTTCAGGGCCCTGATGATGGAGGCAGTATGACCTCTGAAACGTTGGTTAACATCGACCAGACTACACAGCGCAACAACCCACAAGACAGAAATATTCATTATCACAGTTAATTGTGTGCTCTTCATTTTATGAATTCTGGCTTCATGCTGTCTTGAATTCTGCAACTCTGAACCAATTATGAGTATTTAATAGCCTAAAATTTCTTAAAACAATTTATAATGCTGCTGAAGCTGCTTTCAGATGCTCATACCATGTAGAAACATTTGCATGGTGTAAGCACCCAACAGCAGGTTCAACATCAACAACTCACAGCATAACTTGGCCCCCCTCTTGAATGTTGTTGTGTTTGGCAGTTGGTTGCCTGCTTCATCCACACACCAGCATTCAGGAACCTTCTCAGATTTGCGTAGATCGCACTGCGTGGGCAGGAACCTGCACACAAACAGAACTCTCAGGTCTGCTTTCCTTTCAGGTCACTGCTGGTTGGAAGATGGCTGTCTTCTGGGTTGTAGTGCCATGTAGTCTGGTAGAAGTTAAAAACGGTGCTACAATCCAGAAGACAGCCATCTTTGAAGTCACTGCCATGAAAACATAAAATTCTACTGTGTTGGTTAGCTCAGCACACTCCTACCTGCCCTCAGCATCACAGTTGACTGCGTACATAGCACTGGTGCCAGTCATGCGCTCTCGCAGAGCCTGACACCGCGTCTGTTTGAATGGCTCATACGCATCCAGCGCTGCCACCTCCTTGAGCAGTTCTTCAATATCTGTAACAGTGCAGATTGCTAGCTTTGATATGTATTGAATCAAAAGTAGACTCAACAGTAGCCATATTTAAATTTGCCCTTGTGCCTCAGCACCCTGACACTACTGACTGAATTCTTGAATATTGAGGTAAAACAGGAAAACGTGTTGACCTACAGAGGTTCCTGTTCATCAGACAGTCTTACCAAAGTCTTGGTCCTCGTGCATCCTGCGCCGAGCTTGTCGGAAGTTGCAGGTGTGGGGCACATCTCGGGTTAGGGACCCCTTGAGGGGCTCCCCAGCCCTATTTACACACCAGCACACTCCAACTTGCTCCAAGCACTGCACAGATTCCCAGTCTCCTGTTTCTGGATCACAGCGTGGTGTAAATGTTGTCTTCTTGTATTTCTCTGCTGCCTTTTGGTTCTTCTCTCGCATGCGCTCACATTGGCTGAGTACTGTAAAAAATTAAGCTCTTTGTGATAGTGACCCAGAGTGGTAGTTTGGTTTTTATTTCTTGAGATTAAATAAGTCATCAGTTTTCCTGATCATGTGGATGCTTGAATTTGCGGTTCCTACTTCCAGCAGAGTACAATATATGATCTTAAATGATGTGTTATATAATTTTTATTGTGTATACATGGCTCTTAAAATGTTTTCCTATAATCAGCTTACAGATTCTTAACATTTTGTCTGCTATACCCTGTATAGTCTGTAACTTTATGTTATTTTTCTTAATTTCTCATCAGATCTAATATATGGAGAGCAGCAACAAACTACAATGTTATGTATTATTTACTGCTTGGATTAATTCTTTTTAAATTTGATCAATATCTGGCTACTCATAACTTTTCAATTTTTGAGTAGCAATCTCAACCTCAAAAGATCTAAGCTCGACTGTATACAATTCATTCTTCCCAACATTATTAACCCCTTGTACATTCAGTAGCTGATTGAAGTAATTCTTCCATCTATTCAAAATACTGTGGGAATCTGCTAGTACTTGATTCTAGGTTGGTAACCTGTGTTAAATTGGTCTATGCCTCTATATAGGTCTCTAATATGTCAGTTCTTACTGTCTGTTGTGAGCTCATTTATTTTGTCATTCAGATATCCCCTTTTCTTGTTGTGTTTAATACCAGAAACAGAACAATTGAGCCTACTACTGCGATTGTGTAATATTCAAATAGTTAAATTTGCCCTTTGAAATTCACTTAGAACAAATGTAAGAACAGGAGAACAGCCAAAAAACAGGCCAGCTTCTAAGCAAATTTGTATTGATACGTTCTGATCCTAACATGACACCCCTTGAGTGGCTGAGAGGTTTGATGATGTACCGCATCCCTGCCACTGGCTCTCGGTGAAACTCCCTTACAGCATTTGGACATCTTGTCTTCAATCTCTAATTTCAGAACACAAATTTTGCATGTTACGCAACTCACCAGGGCACACCGTCCTGCACACATCTTCAGAGTGGAAGTTGTTCTGGTTCCCACCACATCCACCATACAAGAACTCTTGACACCTGTTGTTTTCAGAGTTGAAGTACCAGCGTGGAGTCTCAGTCTGGCATGGCCCGACCTCCACGGGTTCAAAGCAGACATCTCCTGCAGTCAGCAAGGGGGGAAAAATAATATTTAAAAACTTTGTTCACAAACATATTTCTTCTACATTGACAAGTTTGAAAATATTTATGAAAACAATAGCAATTTATTTAAGAAACCAAAGGAAACACTATGTCCAGAATTACCATTATGGCATGTGGTATACAGTTATATCTGCTTTCTAAAAGGTTATTGGCCTTGTCAATCAAAATCAAGACGTAACATAACAATACATATCCATCTTAAGAGATTCTAATTGTGAATGTTTCTTAGACTGATGTGGAGTCTTTATATTTTCATTCACACTTTTTATGTGAAATGAAAATTCATTGAAGAGTTTCTACTGTGAGAGATATGAAAGTGTAACTTATGGAAGTATATTTTTTAAGAAGTGTTAAAAAAAGATGGACCCATTTGGATAGGGTGAAAAATTGATGATACTGGAGAATATCTTCTTCTGTAAGAAACAAAATTAAAGTGTACATACACAGAAGTAGGTATAATTCGCATTGAGGAAGAATAGACATTGGTAGACCTTGTAAACCTTTTTACTAAATCTGGAACGTACACTTTGGACATGCCACACAGTATCGAGAAAATTCGGATATGCAGACGACCTGACACTGGCAACCCAACACAAGCATTTTGAGAATACTGAGACAATCCTCTCAAGAGACCTCACAATGCTTGGAAAATACCTCAAGAAGTGGCGATTGATCCCTAGCCCTTCCAAAACAGAAACCACAAGTTTTCACCATAATAATAGGATGGCCAACAGAGAGCTCAAAGTCTATTTTAACAACATTCTCGTTCAGTACAATGCTTATCCAAAATACTTGGGTGTCACTCTTGATAGAACACTATCCTTCAAGAAACATCTACATAATACTGCTGCAAAAATAACAACCAGGAACAACATTCTACAGAAATTATGCAGCACAACCTGGGGCTCTTCAGCATCTACCCTACGGATCTCTACATTAGGCCTGGTTTTCCCGACAGCGGAATACTGTGCTCAGATATGGCTTAATAGCCCACATGTCCATAAATTAGACTCACAGCTCAACAATACAATGAGGACTGTAACAGGCTGTCTCAGAACAACTCCCACCCACTGGCTACCTATACTGAGCAGAAATCTACCGCCAGCAATATGTAGACAAGAAGCCTTGTTACTTGAATTTAAGAAACTGCAAGCAAATCCTAACCTCCCAGTTCATGACGACATCCCTCATCTTAATCTCGAAAGACTGAGATCCAGGTGACCCCCACTAGTTACTGCAGAACGCCTTCAAGCTGGCAATTTTAAAAGCAAAACTGCCTGGGCAACAAACTGGGCTGAACTAACTCCTCCTGATGTAAACAGCCATATAAACCCTCAGAAATTACCAACGGGACAAGATCTTCCCCGACAAACATGGAAAACCCTCAACAGGATCCGCACCGGCCATGGCGTTTGGGCAGACATCCTTAATAAATGGGGAAAAATTCAAACAGCCAACTGTGACTGTGGTGCGAGTCATCAGACCATCAAACACATTGTTCAGGAATGTCACTTGAGAGCATATCCAGGGGAACAATCGGATTTCCTCCAAGCCTCTCCACCAGCACTTCAATGGATTGCCAATCTTGACCTAAAATGTAGTATATTATATTTGTAATGCCCATCGTTTTCTTGTATTTCATGTGTTGTAATATAGCCATAAGATAAATAAATAATGTAAAAGAAAAGCAGTTTGGTAAAATGTTCAGCCAGGTACATTCAAACAATGGAAAGTAAGCTTTTTAATTTAACATGAACTCACTGGGCTTTGGGCAGCAGAATGCATACTCTCCCAGCGGGCTGAGATGGCACTTATGTGATGATGGGCATGGGGATCCATTAGGGCCACACAACATCACATCTGTTGAGCCCATCATGAGCAGTGGGTGGCCTGTCTGGCAGGGGTTATTGGCCCATGGCAGGCACATGGGTACTGGGGGGCATGGTGTGTCAATGCATGAGATGTTCACTAGGCGGCACATTTCGCCTTCTTCACGGCAGGAGATCTCTGAACATGGGTCTCGACACGTGCATGTCTGACAGCCTGATTCGTCTAGCTGGAAATCATGTGGGCACGGGGCACATTTCTGTAGTGGACAGCTCCTCCGGGCTTCCAAGAGAAAAAAAGTGGATAATTATTAGCCATTACAGGAAGTGAAATAATTAGTCCTTATCTGTGTGCATATTTGTCTATCCACCTTAATAACTTTGCACATGAAGCCATTCTAAGCCACTCACCATCTCATACTTTCTAGTTCACTACACCAGTACCATTAACATACCTGTCATATGAGTGTTACTTAATGTAGGTTGTGCAGTAGTAGAGTATTTATGTGGAATGTAGAATGATGTGGTGATTGAGCAATTTTTTTCATGTTAGCAATAAGTAATGAACAACTGGAGCTATGTGTATGCAGTCTGGTGTGGAGGAAGATAACAGTCTTACCTAAGCGTTTTGTGTATTTTATGTTTGAAAACTACAAAAAGCAAAAAAAAACTTTGAAAGCAATGAGAATCTATGAGTAGCATAAACTAGGGACAGGTTTCTAAGTTGTAACATTTCTGCTGGCCCTATACTGATGGAAGAATTTTAAAGAAACCAGGCATAACAAGATCTTCCAGAACTTCTAATGAAGTAATTTTATGCAAGTGCTGGGTTATTCAGTTAACAGGGGAGATAGAAATCATTTCTTGTTCTCAAACTACAGAGACTAACCAGGATTCATACTAGAGACCTGTTAAGCACACGTGACTGTGTTGTGTACCTTCACAAGATGGTTGGACATCAGGTGGAGCACGGGTGCCAGGTACCTCATCACCCTTGTTGTCCACACACCAACATTGCTGGGTAATTGGATGACACTGGATGGGCTCAAAGCTCCCATCCTCTTCACGGCATTTTGGCAGGTACAGCTGCCTTGCTGGTATACCTGTCTCATGGGCCGTATGTTCCATAATGGCCCGTCTGTGCTGACATGCTAAAACATGGGCATTCTTCTACATCACAGATTCAACAGTAATTTAATGTGTCAGGTTTATGTTAGTTATAGCCATTTTGTTATAGGAGTGAAGATAATTCTTTTATTCAAGCACAAAAATAATCTCATGCTTTTATGGATCCAAAAGTTTCATCACCATCACCACAGAAACTCTTCTTTGGATCCCATCTTGAGCCATTTAAATACAGTTCACATCCTCAAACACTGTAAGTACGCTGAACATAGCCACCCACCTGTAAGCATGATAGGCTCCACACACTGGGTGCCACACCCATTAGAGCAGCACTTGGCCATTCCTTTGCAGTTCAGATCTGACCGGCATTCATAATCACATGATCCAGCAGTGACTGGGATCAGATAGGGGCATTGTCCTGACTTTTTGGGAAGACCTGAAACAAAATTGTGTCCTGCAGACCATCTTCAGAGTCTCGTGAGCTACTGTCACAAGGAGGGGTGTTCAAGTCAGGCAACACACTGAAAGTCTCAGTTTAGTGGTCCCCACCCCTACTTCACATTCAGACCGTTATGTTTCTGCGATTTCATTGTTTTCTTCAAGCTGAGTAGACAGAGGGGTCATTGCCTGTCTTGTAATTCATAATCATCTGTTAAGCTGATAGAATGTTGCTAAACAACCAACAAAAACTTTCAGCATAGACTCACAGGCAGGTACAGGGGGGCAGTATTCATCCTCACAGTTCACCTCCACTATCTGGCACGCCTGTCCCTCAGAACAGCTGATGTCATCACATGGGTTGCGGCATTCACACAAGGGACAGCGGGTGGAGGGATCCAGCACAAAACCATAGTCGCAGCCCAAACGGCATGTCAAGTCCAGGCAGCCCAGCTCTTCACGCATCGCTGCGCAAGCTGTTGGCCCCCTGGTTCTGTAGAACAAGAAGCATGACACAACATTCCTAGTGTTTCTCTTTCCTAAAACATAACTAACTTGTCCTCAGTCAGGATATGTTAAAAATGTGAAAACACAAGCAAATACCAGTGCTCCTTTATTAATAGAAAACAGAAATTCTTCATGTTTTAGTTTCAGCTTTCCAGCATTTTGGTTAAGAAAATAAAGAAACTGTCAAGATGTTGAAACCTACAACATGAACAAAACATTAAAACTTTGTTCTAAGATACATGCTGCTCTAACCTAACTCTGAATTTGTCTTCGTCTTATCTTCTGAGTGTTCAGTTGCTCAACCCTTTTTTTAAAAAAAAAATTCAGAATTCTAACCTACATATATAAACTAGGTGAAGAGTTTTTAAACTCTCACCTTGTTTCTGGAATCTCAGATCCAAATGAATCCACACACCAGCACTGTCTGTCACCAGCTATCTGTGCACACTGAGTTGCCTCAAAAGATCCGTTACGGTGGCACTTTGGTGGTGGCAGTGCGAGTTTCATTCCATCATGTGTTCCCTCCATCTTGTCAGAGAAGTCACGTAGATATTCACACACTGAAATTTCAAATCATAGTCTGGTGTATTCATATGAAGCTACCTTGTACAAGTATCTAGCCTTTAAAAGTGAAAATTCTATGATTTTGTAAGATACAAGTGCTCTGCTCTTCATAGCGTAGTCACCCCTGCTTAGAGAGACTGGAAATTTACGAATTTGTAATAGAGGAAAAAAAAAATCACAAGTCACAGACAGAAAGAGAGACCTATACCACGAAGTTAGAGCATTGTAATTTCAACAGCTGGCTACTCACTGGAGGGGGGTCTGTCCTCTTCCATTGTACACACAGTTCCACACTGGATGCTGAAACAACACCTACTGTTGCCCTGGCAGTCATTGTCTGCATGACACAATGTGACATTGTCACAACTTTTCAGCATGGGACATGATCCCATCTCCATGTGCTCTGTGGGACACAAAGTTCACAGTGTGAACTGTTAATAAGCTTCACTGAAACATTAAAGCCTGCTGAGAGAACAATCAGGCATGACCCAAAAGGAAACTGATGGCAGAAACAACAGCCATACTGTCAGTGAAAAGAAACCATCCAAAAGACATAACATTCTTGTGAGTTCCTGGGTGACCTGACAGTTAATTTAAACAATAAAATAAAACAATACAATGGCTGGAGGAAACTATGTTTGTAGAGTTCTGTTATTAGAAACATTGCAAAGAGAATGGAGTGGTGACGATGATGGTGAAATATTATAATTACGAAACAAAACTATATGAGAGCCAAATTATGTACATTTTCAGTTATTCTTACCAATATTCTTTGTCAGAGGGCAGCATACTCCACTCCCTCTCCCGTGGATATCTATGCAGATGTGAGTGTTTGGACAGTCTGCTTCCTCTGCAGTACATGTGACAACATCACCACTCAGGGGGTCTGTGAAGGGGATTCCCTGTCTACACAGGGGCTGACCTGAAAAAAGATTGAATATAATTTGTTGTATATACCCTACAGTGAATGGATGACTTGTCAAATCAGTGCAAATTGAGCATGCTACAGAGCTTAAATACAATTTACTTTTATCTCAAAAAATGTTACATGTCTGTCAATGTAATTTTGTCAGTAGTTATCACTTATGACCACCATCTACATGATGATAATCAAAGACAGTAGGGAGCACACAGTGTCATGATGAAGATTGCTGTCATCTGGGTTACAGTGCTGCTCAGTCTGTTAAAATTTGTACCAGACTACACGGCACTACAATCCCCAAGACAAGTTATCTTCATATTTGCCACCATGAGAACCTGAAACCCTACTTAATGCCAAGATGTTCAGATCAGGTTACATAAAAATTATTCATTATGAAATAAGGGTCAGGGATTATCAGAAAGAAAATCTAGTTTCCACTGTAAGCATTAAACAACTTGGGAACTGATACCCCAATGTTAATTAAAGTTGGTGTTCGGAGACTAAATTCTGGAGATGCTTTATATTTTTCAGTTCAAAATATTTTATCTTCCCATCTGATTTCTGAGAACCCAAAGATTAAAATATACAAAACAATAATTTTGCCCAATGTTCTGTATGGGTGCAGAACATGGTCTGTCACCCCGAGGGAGGAGCATATAGATTGCAGGTGTTAGAGAATAGGGTGTTGAGAATATTTTGGCATAGGAGGGAAGACTATATAATGATGAGCTTAAAAAATTGTACTCCCCCATTATTCTCAGGGTGATTAAGTTAAGAAGAATGAGATGGGCAGGGCATGTGGCACGTATGGACGGGGCAAGAGGTGTGTACCGGGTATTGGTCGGGAAGCCTGTGGAGAAGAGAACGCTTGGGTTGGGGCGGGGGGACATACACGCAGATGGGAGGGTAATATCAGGCAGGATCTATGGGAGGTAGAAGTTGAAGGAGACTGGATTTTGCTGGCCCAGGACAGGGACCTGTGGAGGTATTTGGTTAATTCGGTGATCGGGTTCCCTGAGTCATCTGTAAGTTACTTGTTGGAGGCTTTTACAGTAGATGTCGAACCACGTAAATTTTCATTTAGGTTGGACACCAAGGGGCCATGAGCGTTTAATAGATGGATCAATAATTAAGTTTGTTTTGACAGTTGTAGTACCCGTGGTAGATGGTGGAAATAAGTAAGGTATACCCTTGTGCAGGTCGAAAATTGGACACTACGCAAGACCCCTCTTTTGATTCTAATGATAAATGATAATTAACACAGTAGTGAAATTTTACTGAAGTGACCTAAAAGCCACTCACGCAACCTCTGTTTCATGTTTATCGAAGTAAGCTAAATGAATACGTTTTCACACTTTATTCGAAAATATTTTAAAGACAGAAGAGTATTTATGTTATGTAAAGCGGTAATTGAAATTGACACACTTAAATTAAAACTGAAATGGTTCGGCAATATTTTTTTGTAAAATTCTCGAATATAAAATTTAATTAAAATTGGTTCATACATTCTGGGATTGTTCTAAGCGTACAGTCGGTTGTCATATTTACGTCACATTTGTTGACGCATGAACAGACCTTACATATTCTCATCACTGTAGTACTATATCTCACCACTGCTAGCGCTTGGGTAGTACAAAGTACAGTAGCAGCATTAGGTGGTGTAAAGTGGTAGAGAGTGTGTGTTCTGGTTTCTGGAAGCAGTATGTTGAGAGAACATTTAATACGCATCGCGCTAGGAACCTCCTGAGACGAAATGGTGTGTCACACAACTAGCGGACTAACTACATATTTACCAGGTAAGAATGTACTAGCAGAACCACTCACCTCTACATTCTAAGCAGATGTGCATGAGAGGCATTGACTATCAAATAATCAAGTTGAGGGCTTGGACTGGACTCATACAGCTCAGAATATGAAACAGTGATGGTCTGATGTATACATAGTAATGGACATTGGGTTCATAAAAGGTGGGGAATTTTCTGACAAACTGAGTAACTATGAACTCCTCAAAGAGGACTATCATCTGCAGTGTTAATTATGCTGTGAGATTCCTTCAGTCCCTTGGAAGACTCACATTGAGGAGATGCAGGGCACAGGAACTCTGAACAGTCATCATCTCGGACAGCAACACACTCTTCAGTGGGACTGCATGGAAATCCTGCACAGGGATTATCACATTCACATGTGGGACAGCCACTGGAGTCCACCTTGAAGCCATACTCACAGATTTGGGCACAGATGTTCTTGTTGCAAGATGGGGACAGGCTGCGGCCTTGTGCTGTGAACAATTTAATGAGACTTGATGGAATTCTCTGTCAAGTGCCTGCTGTTCATGTGCACAGCTGTCTAAGTTATGTAATCTTTCTTTCACTCACGTGCACAGCTGACGGTGTCCTTGGGTCCCATTGACTTGGGTAGTTTGTTGCCCTGAGCATCAACACACCAACATATAAGTCCATTACGACTGCATTGGCGGACTTCGAACTGACCCGTGGCTGGGGAGCATTGAGGTATGTAACCCTTTCCCTCACGCTCATTCATGATAAGCAGTTCTGCCAACATACGCTGCTGCAAGCAGGTGGTCACATTCAGGGGTTGGGTACATTGTTTTCCATTAGCACCACAACTGCAACACTTCTGCATTGATGGACACTCTATGTCATGTCGGCAGTGCAAGCCACATTCCTTGTTTGTTCTGTTCGTGGGGCAGGAGCCTGGCTTTTGCAACTCGAATGACGTGGGGCAACAGACACCATAGTCATTACCTGTAAAGGAATAGAGTTACTTTCAGGTCTCTTCATGTGTGTGTTACTTGTCCTTACCAACTCCTTGATTTAATCACCTTAAGAATACTGGATGAAGGGTACAGATATTGAAGATTCATATTATAAAATATAGCAGTGGGCAAACACTGACTGACCGCTCTCCACAAGACATTCAAATAGTGGCGGACATCTTGGTTTCCCCGGAGATGTCCCACAAAGGAAGGGACGTCCATTGTTGGTTATCTTGAGAGGCTCGCCAGTAGGACACACATTCTCCAGGCTACGGCCCCTCTTGCCTGCACATCATAATCACAGCATTGATACTCACAACAACATTCACTGACAAAACATTGATTTTATATTATTTCACGTTCATTGTAATTTTGAAGTTGAATACATGAGAGGGAACACTTTTATGTCAAAGGTAGAACATTGTAATTGACAGTTATACGGTCTCCTGTGGTCGATACAATATGCCACATTATTGTTTGGTATACTTCTTTAATTCTGTGTGTCACATTGTTCCTTCCTCAGGTATAATTAGGGTGATCAAGAGCATTGTATTGGTGGGGAAAGTACTCTGCATGTCTGAGATGATGAGAAATGCACACAAAATTTTTGTTGAAAACCCTGAAGGGAAGAGATCTAGTTGTAGCTGTAGAGATGTGTGTGACAATGTTGACTGGATTCATTTGTCTTGCAATAGGGACATGGGGGTAAATAACATTTAGGTTCCATTAAAGATGGGGATTTCTTGACTAGCTGAGCAACTGTGACTACATTCATAAGGCCTCTGCTGCATGGAGACACCCTGTACTCACATCGAGGGATGGGGGGGCACGGTTGCTTGAAGCAGGTCACATCCTCCAATTCACATCTTAGCGCACTTGGACACTCAATCTCACTGCATGGATCATGACACTGGCATCTGGGACACCCATCATCATCCAAAGCAAACCCATGGGGACACAGCATGCGGCAGGTGTGGGCCGCACAGGGCTTTGGGTCTGTGACAAACATTTGGCAGGATCCCTTCATTGTATTCTTTTCTCCATTCCACATATGCATGTCTTATTGACAATCAGTCCAGTTGACTAGGCAGTGTTAAGGGTGTCACATTGTGGTATCTAGTGATCTGTTTACTTCAGACTGCTGACTAACCTGTGCAGTTAACCATATCTTGTGTAGGAGCCCGCGTCCCAGGTACCTCAAACCCTGCATCATCCACACACCAGCATTTTGATGTCACTGGATCACATTGGATTGGATCAAAACCACCTTGCTTATCACACCTTGGAATTCGAACCTTTTTGCCTTTTGGACCAAGAGTGCGAGCTCTTCTGGAGGCTTCTCTCTCGAGCTGCTCACATCCTATGGAAATTTGCACAGTTGTAAGCAACTTGAGAATTATTTGAGGTTAAGGCATAATGGATTGTGTTCATTTCCATGTTTTGTGGTGTCTTGAAATGAAATTCTGTCCACCAGGCAGAACAGGACCTGGTTCAAGAGATAGAATCTTCCAAGTTTTGACATGAACTGCTGTCTCTAACCAAGACAGAGTTAGCATGCATGGATAGAAAAATTAATCCATACAACTTATTGTTGGAAGCACAACGGAGGAGAGAACTTCAGAGGCACAGATGGGAGGTTAACATTAAAACAGATGTTGAAAAAAAAAGGGATTGTGAAGATGTAAACTGGAATGACTTGGCTCAGGACGGCGCCCAGTAGTGGGCGTTCTTAATATCAGGAAGTGTCTGGTCCAGTTGAATAATTGACTGCTTCAGGAAGAATTTGTTGGCTGTGAATGAGGAAGACAGAAGAGCTAAACAGACACAAAATTGGTGATCCTTGTGCTTCTAGCAGCTGAACACTTGTGCCTTAACATTTTGAGAATACCAGTCAGAGTTAGGCTGTCCTGCCATAATTTATTACTGACGATGCAGTTCTTAAGCATTTTTGGTCAGTATGATTGATTGAGAATTGAAGTTCTCACAGTGGTGAGGCTGGGCTGTGACGCTGTGTAGACTCATAGGCAGATACCGAGAGAAATATGATGGTTTGTACCTATGAGTAAACATGGCATCACACCCCAGAAGAGGAAACCATCAGTCCTTCAACTAAACATTTTGGCCAGCACTTGAGTAGATGCTGAAGGTTGTGGAATTATGTGGACGTACAAGCTTGCGGTGACTCACCTGTGTAGAGAGGCTTCACGCAGACCGGTCCGCAACCCGCCGCGCAACATTTCTCGTCGTCCAGGCGACAGTCAGTATCCCGCGCGCACTTCTGGGCCTTCGAGGGGCAGATCCCCCACTGTTCGAGCGCCGGGCACCGACCCTCGCGCTCCCCTATCCAAGAGAAATGCTATGTGAAAGCGCTTTCTCTACTTGGTCGGTCCCTCCAAGGCACAAGGGGGCGTGGACGTGAATCTCCACTAGTTGGACGCGTGCCGAGTGAGTGAGTGCCTTGGATGCACCCCGCACACAGTTCCGTGTGACCGAGTGACCCACTTGAGCCCCACAGGGACATTTCGTTGGCGATGGATGACAACAGAACGAATGAGATGTGTTAATTTGTTCGCATTCTCATGTGACTGAGTGACGAATTGAAAAGGATTACAAAGCAGTCAAATTCTAGATACGTTTTAATAGAATCGTTCTACAACTGGAGAACTGTGTAAATCTAGTTATCTCTAAGACGACTGTTTTCTGGGTTGTAGCGCCGTGTATACCGACGTTTCAGAGGCGCTTGCTGCCTTCATCATCAGGGCCCGGGATCGCGCCTATGTCGGCTCATGTGTGGTGAACAGAGTGGCACCGGGACGGATTTTATCCGAGTTCTTCTCCAGTCACCGCTGCTCCATATTCACTCCAATGTGGACAGGTCCCGTTCCACAGGCGCACTCTCACCCCCGTCTTAACAGTAACAGCAACAATGGTCTGTTCGTTCTGTTGCCATGGAGACAACTACGGCATCCCGACAAAGCTCACTGGTTGCTGTGGCTCGGAAATCTCAGAATGGCGAGGTCGCTGCTCTGAACGAATGTTTCCGTTTTTCGCCACAAAACCTTTCGCCTTGGTCGGGATATCACTGTGGCTTACAGGTTGTAAACCCTGCCCCATTACTCACCTGAGGCGCCGAGCAAGGTCAACAGCAGCAGCAGCAGCACGGGGCGCAGCGTCATCGCAGTCCTGCAACCACAAAAAGCAGTGGCTCGGGGTTGAGAGAGTTCAGTGACATTGTCGACATACATTATCGTGATGCGGTTCCGGGATCGTCGCTTGTAATACGAGGACGCACTACCTAAAGGCCTGCAGCTGGAAATTAAGCATTCAGGTAGAGCAGCACATCCCGGATGTCCGGTTCGGTGACACTCCCCAGTATTCGCTCTTACGTCGATCTCCAAAATTTGCTTCTTTCCCACCGTTAAAGTGGGAGCCATGGACATATTTCTGCAAGTCCAGCCCATCACAACCTGTGCGCTTTGGTTATTGCCCCGGATTGAAGATCGTGAGGATGAGCGGGTGTCCGCTGTGTCAGCATCGCACACCTCAGGGGCACAGAACCCACGATGACGGCACTGTGCCGTCTCCGATTTCGAGTTGCTGGGCCAAAACCAGAATGCCCAGCTACCGCAGTTATAAAAACCACATATTTGCTATTTTTATACAGATACAAGTCAGCAGACCTCTAAACGTGACCAACAAAGAGCAAGGCCTCTTACCTGACCTGATGTTCACAGCAGCAGCAACAACAACCTCTTCAACACTCGCCACTACACTCACTGATCGGGTCGGCTCCACTGACCGACTTTCAAGACGCGGTTTGCCCCACAACGTCATCCCTACGTCACGGCAAAGTGAGTCCGTTATGCAACTATTTCATTGAGGCGTTCTTTTGATTACGCGAAAATCACCGCGTGTGTTTTTCTTGTAAAGGGCAGTGGTGAAAATCTCTTGAAAGACGCATTGAAGGGTCTGTCTAGAATGGATCTTAAAGGAGTGGGATTTGGTGATGTCCAGTCAGTTGAATTTGCTCAGGAATCAGCACACTTCAGCTTTGAAATTAGTGGTGCTGCGTACTTTTTATAGTACGGGCGAGTTTTAAAATCCACTTTTTTTTTCATGTGCATCCATGCACACGTGACAGGGACCAAAATATCTGCCCGATTTTTACAAAACTCGGTTATTGTATATGCTGTTTAAAACATTGTTTATGACCTATTATGTGGCTCATCCACCATATGCAATTTAACCAAGAATCCATGGCCTGAAAGTCTTACTGAAAACAAACCGCACCCATTCTGCTAATCAACAACGTGTTAATGCTGCCTCCGCAAGTTCAAAATGTGTTCACATTTCACAACCTAATTATTCTCATATTCTACTTCTGTGCTGCTATACTGTTTTCTGAAGATGGCTGTCTTCTGAGTTGTTGCAGTGTGTAGTCTGGTAGAAGTTTACCAACGTTTCAGAGGTCCTTGCTGCCTCCGTCATCAGGGCAATGAGTGTAGTGTTTCTTTTTTACTTAATGATGTGTTATGAAATGCAAAGGTTAAGAGAAAGCTTTCATATGTGAGCAAGGAACAAAACATTTAATACAGATATGAAGTACAGAAATTCAGCGATGTTTAAGACTAGGAGCACAAGGTTAACATTTCAGATAAAGTTTTGGAGAACAAATAACACCGCACGAATGTGGGAAAATAATGTGATACTTGAGACTCGGGGAATCTACTGCATTGGCCTTGTGAAGATTGCTGTTAGTGAGGCTGCAGCAAGCTAGACTACCTGCACTACTTCGAAGGATTGGCAAGCGTTGAGTATGCAGGGAGATGGTGTAAATGCTGACATTGAGAATAACCAGGGGAGCTCAAATTCTTTATTGACAAGTATCTGTATCAACTACATGTGTCACTTCTATACCAACAGAAACTGTACATTTCTTCAACACATCCTGATGCTGCTAGGAAACAAAAAGCTGCCATCTTCTTAGATACATGTGACAACACAAATGGGAAAACTTTCAAATGTTTATACATCAGAGTAATGGTCTAGTGTGCAAGGTGGAGGAAACGTTAACTGTGCCAGGGTGGCAACCCTGCTGAGATTCGAACTAATGACAGACAATGGAATGTCACCATGTACCACAATAACAATGATATAAAACACTATCACACCATATTTGATCAAATATACCTCAGACCTCCACATTACGTGGTAGGCATTTTGTGCGCTGTCAGCGTAAGTTCATCCACACATACATTCACATAATGAAGGAAATATTGCAACACTGCTTGCAGTGACAGTAGGACTGTACTTACACAAATGGTTCATGTTTGGGAGGTCCTGTGCTTGAGTCTGATTGACGAACCAAGAAACTAAATCAATTTGCACTTCCGGGAGATGTCTTGCATCGCTCCCACTGTTCTCAGAGAAATTTGTTGTTGAGTAGGATTTGAGGTTTTCATGGCAGTGAGCCTGAAGATGGCTGTCTTCTGGGTTGTAGCACCGTATAGTCTGGTAGAAGTTACAGCCCTACAATCCAGAAGACTATTTTCTTATTACAATTGTCTGTGTCACCTTCGGTAAAACACATTTATCTACTGATACTTCTTGTCCTGGCTGTCTTCTGCAGAGCTGTGGTTTATTTTTGTAGTTCATAAGTAGCTGCACAATCCTATAGCAACAAAATGTATAATTCAATTCTAAAGGGTTTTGACGACGGTAGTTTACACCTAAAATTACTTGTTGTCAGGAATTTTAAAAAACAGACGATGGAAAAAGTCCTGACAACAAATAATTTTAAAATGTATAATTGTTGATTTGTTCCAAAAACTGACTTTAAGGAATCAATTGATCAAATATTTTATTTTAAATTTCCATTCCTGGAAAGGAAGAGACCTCCTGACACAAGGATACTCCCCAGTGCAAGTCAAGGAAGACTTGAGCACTGAATGTACCAACACTCATGCTTCATACACTCAGTCCCTGCAGTCATATGCTAGGGTAGCATCTTAAACAGGGTGCAGCCACTCATCCTACTGTGTACCAAAAAACTGAACCACTTCACACTGAGATTGGAGGTTCTCATGGCAGCAAGTATGAAGATGGCTGTCCTCTGGGCTGTTGCGCCGTGTAGCTCGGTACAAGTTAACTGACATTTCATAGGTGCTTGCTGCCTCCATCGTCAGGGCGATGAGGGAGGTTGCAAGCACTCTGAAGGATCAGCATATTACAAGACTACATGGTGCAACAACCCCGAAGACAGTCATCTTCACTTCGCACCGTGCTGCCAAGAAATCCAGCATAACCCATACATCATATAGTCACAATAAAATTATGGCACAATAATAGGGAATAGAGACCTGCTCAATACAGAAACAACTTTTGAAGGAGCACAGCAACCATGTAGGATTTAGACAAGAGTTTGACGAATAGTGTCGGGCAGGTTCCTCAGGTACCAGCTGTGATCCTCCCCCTTTGCTGTGGCAAGAACACCGCCTGTGTTCTGATGAGGCGTGTCTTTGTTATAGCAATAGCTGTTCCCATGCATGTCAGTGAGATGACCGCCCATAGCAACCAGAACTGCTTCTGGAGCACATGTATCCCAGCGTTTGCAGCCAGGACTCGCAAAAACATACGCATGCGCCTTCCCCTCCATGAGCAGCATCACCTACACACACAGGCACATGCAAGGTAATTTCTAGGGCCATATGGAAAAATGCACATTTTTATGGCAAAATGCTATCGGAGAATGAGAATTTGATGATGAAAAGATGAACATTTATGCCAGAACCACAGATGATAATTAAAATACACCCTTCCTTAATTCAATTTTCAAAATCAAAGCCCAGATAGACTAGTGAGATGAAATACATGGTCACATTGCTAAGGGATGGTAGTGAAAACAATCTGTATAATTATACCATTGTCCTTACTCGGAGAGTGAAATTTGGCATCAGTATACAAGCAACACCGTACATGTACTGGTGAAAGTGTTAACTCCCACACACACAGCTGAAATAATGGAACCACTGAAGTCAGGGATTTAGTAAACGGGGCATCCCATTCAACATGAATCCTTTTTCATTGCGAACTGGTTCTAAACTCAGTATGACAGGCAAGAGAATTTCTGTTATTCATTATGCATGAGGTGACACCTGTGTTTGCAGTCTATTTCATACCTTCGTTTTACTTTCATATGTCCGTAACCACAACGTACTGAACACCTATTTGCTCTCCATAAACTCAGTTAAAGCATAAATATTCATGTTATTTGGATTTCACAGTATAAGTATTTGTAGTAGTGCATGAATGACTCAGATGTTTGTTGGATCTTTACCTTGTGCCCTGCACCTCCTACTCTAAGGATCTCGTCCGGATGCAGAGCATCGAGAGCGGCCTGCACCACTGAATTTGAGTGAGACCTTGTCGTGGTGATGATTCTCCTCCCTTCTGGAGGCAACTGTGGTTCAAAACCTCCAGTTCCAATCCCACTTATACCCCAAAGTGTGCGCCCCATGTCATCACCGTTCACTGTCTCGTAGTTGTAGTACGGCTGATGGATCACGCCTCCGATTGCTCTGCCACCCACTGCAATGCCTACCAGTACTGTCACATGGTCCAGCAGTCCTGCAACACCACACCATTAGTACCAGCAGTGACTCAGGAA